GCACAGCGATAACGTACCGGGGGAACGCGGGGGATGGTGGGGGGAAGGGGGCAGAGAAAAAAACGGGGAGAAGAAGGAGGAGATGTGGATCGTATCTAGGCGCACACCCGCGATGTAAACAGGATGGGTGTGAAGGTGCCTCTTCCTTTCCCTCCCCAGGCACGCAGACACCAACATGTGCACAGTGTCTGGGGCTAATCTAATTACAGGGACCTTTCGGAGGCGCAACCAGCTTTTTTTTTTTTTTTCCTTTAACACACATCCAGACAAATAAATAAATAAACGCCGAAAGACACTGATGCGAATGCTCCGGCTGCTAGCCGGCGGGTCGGCGTGTTTCCTCGCCAAAGTGGCTCAGCGAGAAGCCCGGGCTCTGCCGGGCACCTCCCCGCCGGCTTAGCCGGGGAGCAGCCAGGCCGCGCAAGGCTGGGGAGCGCAGAGCAGGCAGCGGGACGGGGACCACGGTAGGGTTGGCGGGTACCTCGAACAGACACATTTGTACTGACGGAAGAAATAACGCCGGTAACCTACGTGGCAATAGATACAGGTACCGGTGTATGTGCACTGTCCCCTACCGCCGAGCTGCACCAGGTGCCCGACAGCGAGCTCCGGTCTCAACGAAACTGCCCAGTGAGGCAGTGATGGAATCGTCCCAGGTAAAGTACAGCAATGCAGAGGTGTGGATGGAAGTTAAAGAACGACATTAACCACCCCTTTTGCTCAGTGACCGCTCGGCACAGCACGGTCGGTTCTGGCTGGTGACTGTTTTGTTTCATTTACGTGCTATTCCCCTTTCTCCGCTCCCCGTCCAAGCCGAGCCCTCCTGCGCCTGTCACCCCTCGGTAAATCTTCCAGGTGACAGATTCCAGGTGAAGGTGGTGGGGGAAGGGGACACCTCCTGGCCCTCACCTACCCAGGGCAGCACGTGAGGGGTGATGAAGGAAACACGGGGGGAACGCAAAGTCTTCCAGCGCACGGAGCTCGGGGAGGGCAAGGACAAGGCCCCCGCCCAGGGGCTTTTCCCCGAGACCATGGGAGCAGAGCTAGGAGCCGCTGGACGCAGAGGAGCCGGGGCTTCCTCCTCACTGGACGCTTGAGAGACAGCGAAGAGCAGCTGCACCACCGAGAAGGCGACGGGAGACCGCGACTCCCACCCGTGTGCCTCTAAATTGGCGCAAGGGTGGCGTGAAGCGCGTTCCCTCTCTAACAAGACATCCAACACACGGTGTGGTCAGCGTGCAGTTTAATCTTTCTAGATATGCCTTTTCAAATGGCACAGACTTCTCTTTTCTCCGAGAGAAATCTCCCCCTACTCCCCGGTAGCGCTGTCTGTAGACAGGCGAGGACCCCTAGTACAGGGGTCGATCCATCTCTGTCCACTTGCCGGTCGCAGCGCGTAGAATCAAGGTTTTGCTCCGAGAAAAATCCACCCCACTCCCCGAAAGGTTAGCGACAGCTATCCTTGTGCCTAAAGTTCCGAGATTGCTAATGTACATTGTAGACACAAGATGTTAGTTAGATTTGAGCAAGTTTTTCCCAGGATGTAAATTAGGTCCCAAAAGCTGTTGTCCAAATCGAAGAAACAGAGAAATTAATCTGGGAGACTATCCATCATAGGCTGTAATAAAGGGAGCGACATGGATGAGACAGATGATATGATTAAGGAGCTGTGGTCGTTTTAATTAACTTTTTGCTGTCCTGTAATGATCAAACTGGTCAACAGACCCGGTCAATAAGCATGTTAATATCAAACAAATAAAACCAGGGATGATTAAAAACCTCCTGGTTTATTAAATTTGAAATTCAAATGAAATTTATGCTGCAGATGCATACAGAATGCTAATAGATTTTAGGTTTATTGAGAGTGGATCCCACAGGTTTTCAAGAAACGGCACGAACATTTATCTGCTCCCGTACATCAAACTTCAAATGGGGGGGAAAAAAAAAAGTTTTAATTAATTTCGGGAAAACCTCTCTTGTCCCCCCCTCCACCCCTCCCTCCCGTCCCCACCTGCATATTATGTTGATGTACTGCACCCTTAAGTGCAGTGGTCAATAAGGCAAATGCAAACAAAATCGTAAGCTTCCTTAAATCCTTTGCCCAGCAGGCAATGTATACAAAGGGGGAAGGTTACAGATGTTTCGATGGTGAATTCAGGAAAGATCAGCTCATCGTTCTCAAAGTTCAGAAACTGCTGCTTTTCCAGTTTCAGGGAAATTGTCAGAGTAGCAGGAGGATGCCCACTGGCAGGAGTTTTGTGATTTCTGTTGTGATGCATTTGCCTTTTTTTCCCTCCCTCTCAGTTGAGTTTCCTTGTAAAGACTCCCACGACTATTTTTACAACGAGTTTTTCATCATTTCCAAGACGGTGCTTTTAAAGGAAAAGCACACTGAAAATTAAGGATTTTTGACCTCAAATGAAAAGAGTCAGGGCAAGCATCGGAACAAACAAACGCGAAGAAGACCAAGAAAGGACACGTTTTCTCTGAGCAGACAAGTGTAGACAAAGTACGTATGCAAATGAAAGACCCACCCGACGAAGCTCTCCTAAAAAGAGATATATCACTAACGCCTTCTCCTTCCCCGGTGGATGGTAAAGTCTCTCAGACTTTCTGGGGCTGAAAAGAATGCGTGTCGATCTTTTTACCGAACCTGGCACACCACAAAATGCGATTTTGTGTTCCTCTAAAACGTAATGCACACGATGCTTGTTTTGCTCTTACGCTTTCTGATCTATGTCTTAATAGTTCTTCTCCATCTCCAGCAGATAAAGAAAGTGGAGACAAAAAGTTAATAAGTATTCATACAAGGGAGTATCTCCGGGAAATGTTCTTCCCCTCTTCGCGGGTGATAGTACTGATTAAATTAAACCCGAAATTTACACAAGTGTGCGTTAGGTCTGTAAAATGAATATCATTATAGAAGGAGAGCAAAGCAATGAAGTTAATTCTTTTTTATTTGTTAAACGGAGTTCCCTCCTTCCCCCACCCATTCCTCCTTCTGGGCTGGCCTGTCACGCCTTCTCAACAGGCTAAAATCATTCAGAGCAGCTCGCGGGGAGAAACGCGACATTTATGGTAACCGTCAACCTTCAGAGAAAGAAAGCAGTTCATTAATTTACTTCACTCTTACTTCAAAGTATGATAATGTACGTTATCCCCTTGATCAATAGATATGATGTACAGTCAATACCCCACGACACGGAAACGGGTCAAAACCGAGGCCGAGACAATAAGAAAAACAGCCCCTGGGAAGCTAAGCAAAGCCGCGGAAAAACAGCGGGGGTTAGAGCACCTGGGCGAGCGGGGCCGGGTCGGGGTAGCCCCCGCGGGCGGCTCCCCCAGCGAGAGCGGGAGCGGACTCTGCCCTTCTCCGCAGCCACCTAGCTCTGGACGAGGGGCCGAGGGGGGCAAAGAGCGCACCTTCGAGGTGCTCCGGGACGAGGCGGCGGGGCCGCCCGGCAGCCAGCCCCTGATTGTGCCGGTGCCACTCGGATGGCTTCCGGCTTCTGCGACCCCACCTCCAAGAATCATGCCTGAAAACGCGGGTCTGCGAGGGCGAGAAGGGAGCAGATGGCAAAGAGCAGTGGCCTGAAGTGTTTCCCCTCCTTAATGGGGCAACGGGAGAGGAAGGACTAAGCAGAGGAGAGCGCCGCGGGGGGACCCCGTGAAGAAACGTGGGATGCTACCGCGCTCGCCAATCCTTGCCGATAATCATAGTAAGACTGAGATGATGATGATGACATAAAATTCAGATATAAACCGCTCAGCGGGAAAAAAAAAAAAATAACCTGTTGTCAGATTACAGGCATGGAGGGGTGATGGAAAGGGGCGACCGGGACGAAGCAGCCCGACCTGGGGCTAGCGGTCCCTGCGGACCGGGACTGTGGCTCGCCGCCCGACGACGCGACTGCGTGAGGTCATCAGCGCCGGCGGGGCTCGACGGAGGGGCTCGACGGCGCTGATGACCTCACGCAGTCACGCCGTGGAGCGAGGCGGCGGTGGCGGGGATTGGCTGGCGGAGGCTCAGCGGCACTTCAAAGCCGGCGAGGGAGCTACAATTGTGGTGGAATGGGCGGAACTGATCATTGTATTGCACACCTCTAAAAAAAACACTGCCTCTGATTTATCAATATAAAAAAGATCCTCTGAGAGGAGGGCACTTTTGTGTGATGGCAACTTCACTTCTAGGGGTGAGTCTAAGGATTTTTTTCTCTTGCTGGTTTAATTGGTTTCTTTTTATTGTCGATTGGAGGGGGTTAAAATAACCCCTGTCTTGACCGGGGCTATCAGTCTCCTCTATTCAGCTCTCTTTTTTTTTTCTTCCTTTTTTTTTTTTTTTTTTTTTTTTTGAAACTTAAGTACAACTGAGTTTAGGAGAAAAGAAAGAGTGAGAGGGGGAAAAGGGGGCAGAGTCACTTTTCAGTGAGCAGAAAAAGGTTTTAAGGGCATTTGTAGAAACAACCTACAGCGCCTGGGCTGTGCTGTTCCTGTGCCCCTGGAGAAGTGGCTTTTCTTCTTTACTGGTGACTGCTGGAAGAAAAAAACCCAAAACCAACAAACAAAAAAACCCCCCAAACCTAGCACTATCATTTTTCTTGTGCATTTTTTTAAATTTGCAACAGATTGTGGCTTTTTGTTTCCCTTTAAAATAACACAGCCCACCGTGTCTAGCAGGTACGTTCAACTCGTGTATACATACATATTTACATACGTTAAATTTAGATATGTATTTCATGGTACGTAAATTAGGCTGACTTTAAGAAAGTTCTTTTTAAAAAAGGACTAATTTGATAAACCTACAATTCTATGTTTAAGAAAACAGCCTTACTGACCTGTGGGACGGGGACTGGCCAGGTCCCGGGGAAAGGGAACAGGCTGAAACGTAGCTGCCGCCGTGCCGGGGGCATCTTTAAAGCTACGGTAACAGACGCAACTTTCCCCCCCCTCTCTTTTTTTCTCCCCCTTTTTTAACCCTTCCCGAGCTCCTCCGTGGGAGGGGAGTTGGATGGTGAAAAAAAGCTTGGGAAGGCGTTTGGAGACAGAACCCCGTTGCCGGCCCCAGCGAAAGGATCCTCCCGCGGGAGTCGCGAAACTTTGCGGCCGGGGCCGGCGGAGCGAAGCGGGGCCGGGCGGCGGAGCGGTGCCGGGCGCGGGACGCGGGGCGCGGGGCGGCGGGGCCGCTCCGATCCTGACGCGGCGGGGCGGCCCTCTCCCCTCTGTGCTCGCAGGAGGAACCGCGGGTAGGCTCCACGCCTCTGGCCATGCTCGCTGCGACCTGCAACAAGATCGGCAGCCCCAGCCCCTCGCCGTCCGCCCTCTCGGACAGCGCGTCCTCCTTCGGCAAAGGCTTTCACCCCTGGAAACGCTCCTCCTCTTCGGCCTCGGCGAGTAGCTGCGGCGCCGTGGGCTCCGGCCTCCCGGGCTTCGGTGTGGCGGGCGCGGCGCGAAACGGCTCCTCAGCGGCGGCGGCGGCGGCAGCGGCAGCGGCGGCCGCCCTGGTCTCGGACTCGTTCAGCTGCGGCGGCTCGCCGGGCTCCAGCGCCTTCTCTCTCACCTCCAGCAGCGCGGCGGCCGCCAGCTCGCCCTTCGCCAACGACTACTCCGTCTTCCAAGCGCCGAGCAGCGCCGGCGGCGGCGGCGGCGGCGGAGGCGGCGGCGGAGGGGCGGCGGGACAGGAGGCGGCGGCGCACCAGCCCGTCTTCATCTCCAAGGTGCACACGTCGGTGGAGGGGCTGCAGGGCATCTACCCGCGGGTGGGCATGGCGCACCCCTACGAGTCCTGGTTCAAGCCGTCGCACCCGGGGCTCGGTGCCGGCGAGGTGGGCTCGGCGGGCGCCTCCAGCTGGTGGGACGTGGGCGCCGGCTGGATCGACGTGCAGAGCCCCAACGGGGCGGCCGCGTTGCCCGGCTCGCTGCACCCGGCGGCCGGCGGACTCCAGACCTCGCTCCACTCGCCGCTGGGCGGCTACAACTCGGATTACTCTGGCCTGGGCCACTCGGCCTTCAGTAGCGGCGCCTCCCCGCACCTCCTCAGCCCCGCCGGGCAGCACCTCATGGATGGATTTAAGCCGGTGCTGCCCGGCTCTTACCCGGACTCGGCCCCCTCGCCGCTGGCCGGCGCCGGGGGCTCCATGCTGGGCGGTGGCCCCGCCGCGCCGCTGGCCGCCTCGCCGCGCTCCTCCGCCCGCCGCTACTCGGGACGCGCCACCTGCGACTGCCCCAACTGCCAGGAGGCCGAGCGGCTGGGGCCGGCGGGGGCCAGCCTGCGCCGCAAGGGTCTGCACAGCTGCCACATCCCCGGCTGCGGAAAGGTCTATGGCAAAACCTCGCACCTGAAGGCGCACCTGCGCTGGCACACGGGCGAGCGGCCCTTCGTCTGCAACTGGCTCTTCTGCGGCAAGCGCTTCACCCGCTCCGACGAGCTGCAACGGCACCTGCGGACCCACACGGGCGAGAAGCGCTTCGCCTGCCCCGTCTGCAACAAGCGCTTCATGCGCAGCGATCACCTCAGCAAGCACGTCAAGACCCATAGCGGCCCTGGAGGCGCCGGGGGCCCCGGCGGCGGCGGCCCCGGCGGTGGTCCCGGCCCCGGCGGTAAGAAGGGCAGCGACACCGACAGCGAGCACAGCGCGGCCGGCAGCCCGCCCTGTCACTCCCCGGAGCTGCTGCCGCCCCCCGAGCCCGGCCACCGCAACGGCCTGGAGTGACGGGCGGAGGCGCGGGGCCGTCGCGCCCCTCGGTCCGCCGCCCTCCCGGCCGCGCAGCGCCCCCGGGCGCGCAGCCCTGCGGCGGGGACGCGGACACGTAAGTAGCCGCCGCGGCTCCGCAAGAACCGCTCTCAGCCTCGCGGCCGCTCCGCTGCCCGTCCAGAGCCCCGCCCGGGCCGGGCGGTGCGGCCGGGCCGCGCAACCCCCGCGGCGGGGGCAGGGGAGCGTTTGGGCAAGGGGAGGGAGCCGCGACCCGCTGTGGGGCGGCCGAGCCGCCACCTCCTTTCCCCTTCGCCTTGAGACGCCCCCGCCTCGTGTTGCTTTTAGAGAGGACCCCCCCTCCTTCTCGTCCCCTCTCGCTTTCCCGCTGGAAACCGGCCCGTCCCCTCTCCCTCAGCCATTAGAGCCGGTACAGACGCGGCGCCCCTGCGGGGCGGGCGTGCGGGCCGGGGCTGCTCCGCGGCGGGGCCTCCGACGGCAGCGCAGTCAGCCGCGGTCCTTACTCCGAGCCGAGACTCAGACCTGCCCTCGCCTCGTTAACTGCTCGAAGCCCGTCTGCTCCTCGGGACCGGAGCGGCAACGTGCTTATTTCCCGTTCCCCCTTATTTTTTTCAATTTTAGAGAATCGTTTATCGCCCCGAGTCCAAATTTCACTGCGTTTGCCAGCGCATTTGTATAATTCTCGTTTGAGCAGGAATCGCGAAATACGTTGAAAATAATTAGGTTGAAAGTCATATATTTTTTTTTAAACTCCATACAAATGAAGAAGCATCGTGGGTTTCAAGCAAAGATGTATTTCCAATGCCAAAAAGGGAGGCTGGGGGGGGGGAATAGGAAAATAAAATATTTGTAAAATATGTCTGAACCTATAGGTTTGTATCACTGGGGAATCGTTCTAGATTAGCTAACAATTAAATAAAACTCCACCAATGTATCGGTGTGAGGTGCAGTTGTCCAGGAGACGATTTTGTATAGTATTTTTCTTGTAAATTACTTCCAGTAAATATTTGAAAATATATTGAAGTACACTTGAGCTTTTTTTTTTTTTAATTTTTATTTCTTTTCCTGTCACAAGAAAACATTCTTTTTGGAGTCCTGGTTCACTGCATTCTTTTACTGGACTCATTCCTTGAAGCGTATATCAAATCACACTTCAGGATATAGGTTTTGCTTGAATATTAATTTAGGTAGGCATACAACTGTAATTAAGCAAACAATATTTGATAAATGTTGAATGACATTTAATTTAATGGAGCATGTACTTATTTGCATTTGCTGGCAGTTCAGGTATAGTTATGGTGAGAGTTCTCCTATATTTCATAAACTGGGTTTGCCACGACCCATGTATTAAATAAACTGTCCAAGTGAAACTGAACTAACGTTGGCCTATGTGTATTTCCTGAAAATAATATTGATAAATGTTAATAAACACTCCTGACACTACATTAGCAGTTTGCAATGCTGCAAACTAATTGTCTCATTGTAATGTTGAAATAATTTGGATATTTCACATTGAAATGAAAAGCCCTTCGCTGGAACATTTTAGATTTGCATTTTAAATGCATGAAATGTAATTGATTTTTATCTGTAATATTTTAAATGGTATTAATAAACTCCAGAAGAACATTCTACCTTAGGTCAGACAATTGTTTTTCTTCTTTGTAAGTCCATCGTGACAATCAACGATTTACTTTGAACTCATAGGGTATGAGACATTCCCTAGAGCTCCAGAGAAAAGTGAAAATACAACGAATGTAAATTGTAGCACCAATGAGAGCAACTTTGAGACATTAAAATTAATAAGTTGGTGTTCCTTTCATGCCTTTTACGAAGCACTGGTAGCGGAAACTAAATGAAAGACTTTTTTTTTTTAATAATTTTTATCAGACTAATAATACAGTGCCTCTCACAAAGCTGAATGTATTTGAAGAGCTGCTTTGCATATATCTCCTCCTTGGAATTATTTTTCACGTGGTGTCAGATTCATTGTGAAAGGATTTAATATTGAAATACTGAGGGTCATTATTTCTTTAAAAGACAAAATAAAAAGTGGTCCTCCGCTTTTGTTTTTAGGTCAGGTGGCTGTGGCTGGGAACAATGCTAATTGCTGTAGGTAGCGCTAACTTCTGCAGGTCTTAGGGGTGAGAAACTTCGCGGCTGTGTGTGAAAACTCCCTTCTCCTTTGGGAGTGTTTTTTCTGCCGGACTGGGAATCTGGGTGATTTCAGGAGCTGGAGGATGTTGCCAGCCAGCCGGTCCAGCACCGCTGCCCTTGCTGTGTCCTTTAAATCTTTTCCACAAGCTGTCCCTGAACAAAAATAAAAACACTATTGCGAGTGTCTTTTGTACTGGCAGCATTTGCTTAGAGTTTTGGAAGAAAAACAAAAAACCCAAAACAAAACCAAAATCCCAAACCAACCAAAAACCACCACCAAAAAAAACTCCCAACAAACCCCAAACCCTCACCAAACCCTCAATCTGCTAACACTTTCTCTCAACACTTTTTTTTTTTTTTTTTTTTGGGAGGCGGGGGGCATATGGAGGATGCATAGTTCTTATTCGGAAATTTGGCCTCTTGGGTTACATAGAGAGGCAATGTTCACTGTCAATATACTGGAAAATCAGGACTAGAGTATGGAATTTGCATAGCAGAAAGATCTTTTGTGCATATATGTAGAACATGTTGTTAGTAGTAACTTAAACAGCAGGTATTAAACTGCAGAGCAAAAAGCACAGACAAATCAACTCCAGATGCAGTCAAGATTTTGGTCCTCTGCATGGTGTGGGAGTTACAAGGGGCTGTTAACATCCACTGGAAACTAGAGCGGTTCTAGTTGACTTTTTCTGAGCTGCGTTTTGATTTTTTTTCATTACAAGTACAACCATCAGAGGTCTGCAAAGTTTCCTACTGAATCAAAGCAACAGTTTGCTCTGATTTTTTTTTTTTTTAGTGCCACATAAATGAAGTGGTTAACAGCACCTGATTTCCCCAGTGGGAGTCAGAGGCAGTGGTTATGTTACCAGGAGGTTTTAGTCCTGATCGAATGGGCTGAACACTTAATAAAAAGGATAATGGAGCAATGGATAACTTTTAATACTGCTTCTCTGATATCCCGCTGAAAAGAGAGTGCTGTCAAAATGCTGCTATCCGGGAACTTTATGGTTTGTTTAGGGCACTGGTTACTCTGTCTCGGATCAGTCTGGCAGTGGGATAGAACCAGAGACAAAATGCAGCCTTCTCTCAGGAATGAACATGTGTTTCTGCCGTTTGGAAGCTGCCAGTTTGGATCCGGGCTGTGTGAACACACATCTTTTTCCTTTCTTTAAACAGCAAAACCCAGCACTTGAAGGCTGAATAGCTCCTCTTTGTAGTGGATTTACTCTTACTAAACCCTTCCAGATAAGGGCATTGAGTTGTTTGATAGGAGCCGGGAACTTGTCTCTGCGTTGTGCAGATCAAGGTAGAGTTAAACTAGTTCGCTGACCTACAGGTCAAACCAGTGTCCATCAGCTTACCTTCCAACTGCCTTCAGATGATTGTGGCCATTCCCGTTTGCTCTCTGACCTTTTAAGTCGCTTCCCTTCAAGCTCGTAGCAATGTCTATCGAATTTCGTGTCCTGCTTTACCCATTATTCGGCTTTTCAGTGTAATTTTCCAGTTTAAATTTTCAAAAGAGCAGTGATAGAAGATGTGTGGAGCTGAAGTGATTTAAAACACCATTTCTGACTGCTGTAGTGCCTTACCCGCTACCTTCAGCCTGTGCCGGAGGAAACTAAACAGTGATCAAAGGCTGTTAACTTCTCCTCAATTCCAGTCTAGGAATGTGAAAGTAGAAAACAAGAAATGAAATCTCAAGTGTTTTATTTGTGGATGTGATGGCTAATCCAGCCGTCAACACCTTCACAGCTGTAAAATCAGCAGAGTAAGTATACTCGATGCAGTCCAACAAATCCTTCAGTACAAATGGTAGTAAGTAAGTATGCACTTGCCAAAACCTGCCACACTTCAGTTACATTTTGTGAAGCGATCTTTAGTTTAGTTTCGGGAAGAAAGAGCTGGGGAAAGGTGGAACAAATTAGGTGTGTTGTTGCTCGTGCTTTCACCAGATTTATGATTAAAGGACAAAACTCTTTTGCTGTATCAGAATAACCTTGTACTTCTTAGGATAAGTTGTGGTATGCTTTCTCATCTCACTCTATTACATATTTTATAAATTCCTTATCAGTTCCATGCACATTTTGCAATAATCGTTTTAAAAATTAGAACACCATTTTTTTAGCTACTGTATGTGTGGCATCGTTTTAAGCAAACTGGCCATCTTGCGCTTAAGTGTAGTATATGAAGAAATTATTGCACATAAGGAAGATGTGCATTGAGAAAAACCGCACCATTTAGGACAGTTACTGTGTTTCCAATTCTGTGGGTTTTTTTAACTGCCTCTTGGAATTATTCACTTTTTTAAAAAAAAGGGATTAGAGAAATAAGGAATAATAGCAAGCAATAGTACATAGGAGCTTTAGTGGGGCACTCTAAGTACAGAGTAATTTCCTTTTACACTTGTGGATTTCGACGCAAACTGGGATCCCATATTACTCCTTGAACAGTGCACAATTTTCCAAGAAGTGTATTTATAACCACCTTCAAGGCCCGGTAAGGGGCTGGATAATGGACCCACCTCCTGGGGAGCAATCTCGGTCTTGGCAATTGGAGATTTCTGCTTCAGGTTGAGTGATATTGCTCTGCAAAGTGCGAAAAGCAGACACGGAACTCCAGCACTTTCTCAGATGAAGTGTCGGGAGGCCCCAGGGCGGCAGTGCTGGGGGATAGCCCTCTCTCCCGGCCGGGGCCCCGGGGATGCCCTGTGGGTCGGGGATGGAGAAGGGAGGTTTTTGGGCGTTCGTCTCTGGTTACAGAAAGAGAGATGGTGGGGCGGGGGGGTTTCTTTTGAACAGTTTTTTCTTCTGGGGAGATGTCAAGCTGTGCAAATACCTTTTGCGGGGACGAGGAGAAGAATACTCCTAAAAAAATTATTATTATTGCCTTCTCTTTACACCTGTCCTCATCCCTTGAGATAGGAGGATGCGTAAGTGTGTGCCTATACCCTCGGCGCACCTTTCAGCTGCCCCATACCTTACAAGCGAGCCTTCTGCTGTCAGTAAAGCTGGCCACTCGCACATCCCAGTCGCTGCTGGGCAGGAGGCTCTGCACCTCTCCTGGACTTGCTACACGTTCCTGCACTGGTTCCTGCTTCTTTCAGGAGAGGGGAGCTGCCTTTCCATCCGTCCTGTTCCCTTCTTCTTCCCCGACTCGGACACAGACACACACACGCATACGGGAGTGCGGGGGCGGCGCGGCCGGTCCTGCCGCGGGCTCGCAGCGCCACCCGGTGTGTGCGCCCCGTCGGCGGCTGGTCCCCCGCGGGGGGACTGAACTGCACAGCCGG